TGATTTAAAGCCTAAAGAGTCGCTGCGACAAAAATTTAAGAAAATTAATATATTAACTTTGGCCTCTCAATACATTTATGAAAATGTAATGTACGTACATACACAAAAATAAAAGTAGTTTTACAAAAATAAGTGATATTCATTCTGTAAATACTAGGAACAGACACAAGCTAGTAGTACCAGTTACTCGACTCCATCGAGTCAGTAATTCATTCTTAGGGCGATGTATACGCTTTTACAACAAAATTCCAGAAAATATACAAAATTTGACCTGCTCAAAGTTCAAAAACTTTATTAAACTAAGTTTGTATAAAAAGGGTTATTATAATATTAAAGAATTTATGGATGATAATAACCCCTGGAAATGAGGTGATCGCTACCAAGCTATTTCTAATTTGTGTTGTTAATTTGTGTAACATACATGATTGTAAGCTGTTATTTTTTTTAAAAAAAGTCCCGCTGGGTTTCTTGCTGGTTCTTCCCAGTACAGAGGTTTTTTTTCGAACCAGTGGTAATTATACAAAAGAGTGACTTTCAATAAGTATTATTTATAATCCATATTGAATAAAAAAGTTTCTGTTCTGTTCTGTCTGTTTCCATCCATTACAGTCTATTAAAGTCCACTACTGGACATAGGACTTTGCCATAGTTGCCACACTTGGCAGACGGATTGGCAACTGCAGTTTTTATGAATTTAAATTATTATCAGGAGGATACTGCTGCTCATCTTCTGTGTCAGTTTTCCTCTGTCGCCTCTTACGACACTAGCGGGTTGATATGGGGTAGTGGATATTCTTACACCGCCACTACACGGTCCACTCCGCATCGTCGAGTAATACCTGGTATTTCTGAGATAGTTATACAGCTATCAAATTTAGAAAATGTCAAGGCATTTCCTACAGTACTACACGACTAGATGATTTTTATAGAAGTAAGCTGGTGGTCAGTGGACGCTGAGGCACGTATCTATCCTCCTGTGATATATGAAGGGTCTCCTTCCAATCCTGGCAGGGTCGCCATGTGATATATGAAGGATCTTCAATGAATAAGGGACGTGTTGCTTGTACAAGAACTTTAATTATTATTATCATCATCATTATAGCCCTTCACAAGTCCACTGCTGAACATAGGCCTCCCCCAAGGAATGCCACAAAGCACGGTCCTGAGCGACCTGCATCCATCGACTTCCTGCATATCTTACCAGGTCGTCACTCCATCTAGTGGGGGCACGCTCTACACTTCGCCTGCCGGTACGAGGCTGCCGCTCGAGAACCTTTTTTCCCATCGGTTGTCGGTTCTAGGAGCTATATGGCCGACCCATTGCCACTTCAGCTTACTAATCCGTTGGGCTATGTCGGTCACTCTGGTTCTACTGCGGATATCCTCATTTCTAAGTTCATCACGCAGAGAAACTCCGAGCATAGCCCTCTCCCATAGCTCGCTGAGCGACCTTGAGCTTCCTCATACGGCCAGCAGTGAAGGACTTTAATTATACTGTCTCATAATTTACCTTAACACTAATATATATAGTCGTGGGGGCTATACTACACTACACTCCATTAAGAATCAAAATGTAGATGCGTGGTTAAATCTGAACACCCTGACTAAAAGGGTCTCCGGTTCTCGTTACCTACCATACCATACACAGCAGGATCATGCTACTCTTTCACGCTAGTATTCTGTGCTTGCTTACTCCCCGGTCAAGCCGACCAATTAGTGTCGTAGAGTAGTTCCACCCAGTACAAAGTGTTACAAAATAACATAACAATATAAATATACCTGGCAGCGCATTAGGCGGTTGGGATCGCTTAGCAGCGGAAAGGTTAACGTCCGCACCGGCGAGCAGTAAAGCACGGACACAGTCGGGCGCGTTCGCTAGGCAAGCCATGTGTAATGGAGTATAACCTTGCTTATTGTAATAGTTCAGAGATGAAGAATTTTTGTTAGCCAGAATCTGTAAAGAGATGTTGGTTTGATATTCAACAGTATTGTTGTTGCTGCAATAGATCTAGACAAGGCATCGGCGTCGGCAATGTGTATATTTCTCGAACCAATTCGAGCTCCTTTCGACCCAACCCCCAATTAAAGTTAAAAAGTTACAGCCTATATACGTTCCACTGCTGGGCACAGGCCTCCCCTAATTTCTGAGAGGGTTTAAGGGCAAGGAAGTGTCCGCCGCGCCTCCCCAATGCGTGTTGGCGAACTTGACATGTCTTCGAAATATTTTTTTTTCTTATTTCACAGACATGCAGGTTTCCTCACGATGTTTTCCTTCACCGCCGAGCACGTGGTAAATCAGCACTTAAAATTGCAACTACCAATTTCATTGGTGCCGGCGGCGATATAACCCGGTTTGGTCGCGTACTGTGAAATTTACAGCGAACGCTAACCATATGAGCTACCAAGGCTATTATATACCCCCCCCCCCTACCCTATGTATATTATAACCCACAATTACTCTTTACAAATAAAGTAATTTTTTAAGTCTAAAAAGGTCCTCTAGAATACTTAGAATTCCAAATTTCATGAATATACCTATTGTATAGTTCATGAGTTATTAAGGTCTGAAAGTGCCATTTTTATCACTGCTATTCACTGACGCACTCATCAATAACCTAGACCACTTCTAGGTGACTTATAAACTAGCATACTACACTACACTAGGCATTAGCGTAGATCATTAAATGTATGTACAAAGGAAAAATATGAAAACTACAAATTATCGATATTTGGTGAAAATCGATTACGTGTAACGTGATGATATTTATTACAAACTCATTTTTTTGTTGTTCTATTTAATACTAAAATATAGTTTTAAATCAATTGAAGAACGTTGTACATTCCTATAGCTATGATTTAAGAAATTGCTATAGTACTTGGCACCCGTCCATGCCTCAATTCTTTTATCGGCGGAGCCAACAACCCCGATCGTCGTTTGTGCCTAACTTCCCAAACCACTCGATAACCTATGACCAACGAACTCTAAAAATTACGTGACCTTTTAGTTTTGCAATCCGTGTAGAAAATTATTAGAGCATAATTTTAAATGTTTACAAATAATTTATTTCATACTAAGATTATAATTATTAGATATTAAGATTATAATTATATTATTAAGATGAAATCGCCTAATAATAATATCCAAAAGAATTATAAATTCTGAATTGCGTTTAAATTACTCTTAATCGATAAATGATTGATGTTTATTTATGTTGATTGTCCTTGCAGAATTCTTTGATTTTGTTATTTTTTGGAGCCACTTTATATAAGCCGTGGTAGCTCAGATGGTTAGCGCTCGCTACCTATAAGCTTTACAGTACACGAGCAAACCGGGTTCGATCCCCGCCAGCACCAATGAAATTGTTAATTGCAATTTTAAGTGCCGATTTACCACGTGCTCGGCGGTGAAGGAAAACATCGTGAGGAAACCTGCATGTCTGAAAAATAAGAAAAAAAATATTTCGAAGACATGTTATGGTGCATTTCCACGCTTGCCAAGCCTCGGCAAACGTCTTCAAGATCAAGACCCAAGCGTCCACAAGTCTCGTTTGGCGTTTGGAAGTCGTATCTCCACTTTCCATGCTTGTGAATGCGTCAGTGTGCTACGTAAACCCAAGCATGGCGGACACCGAACTTGCGTCGGCTATTGCGTTTGGTTTAACATACTTTTATTTGAAATACAAGCAAAGTAATACAAAAACAAGTAATTTTTGGCTTTTAATTCTTTTACTGGCTTTCCCGTTAACTCGGCAAGACGACTCCAAGCATTTGCAACATTCTTTTTATTTTTATGATTAACGTCTTTGGGGTTCCAGATAGACGATTCGGTCTGGTAATATTTCAGAAACGATAAACTCTCTTCGTTCGACCAGTCACTCATTTTAAACAAAGAACTAAGCATGCGCTCGTCGCGAAATCACAATTTCTACTAAACGCGCACCAACGTGTGAATGCGTTACAAGCGCTTGCCGCAAGCGCCCTTTGATCTGTGTCCAAAAACCGACACTAGCCCGGATCGGGGACAAGCGTTCACAAGCGCACACAAGCCAAGCCAAACGCCCTCTTTACACACTTGTGCTTGTGGATACTTGCCGAGACTTGGCAAGCGTGGAAACCCGGCATGAAGTTCGCCAACACGCATTGGGGCAGCGCGGCGGACATTTCCTTGCCCAAAAACCCTCTCAGAAATGAGAGGAGGCCTGTGCCCAGCAGTGGGACGTAAATAGGCTGCAACTTTACTTTACTTTTTTTACTTTATATAATGATTTGTTATATTTGGGCGAATATTACAAGCTAAAAGTAATTTCTACTTTGAAGGATGTTATCTATTTGCTTATTTTTTAATTATACTTATATCGTTGAAACGTTGCGTTTGCTTGAACGTTGCCGGATCATGATACAAGTATTATCACGTCATATTTTGGTTTTATGTAGACTTAGTTTATTTTCAAAACCATCATCATCATAAAAATCTCGAATGGTGGTTTTGTATGACATTGTGAATAGTTAGCAGATAAAGATAAATTATGTACATTAAATGAACTTTTAAGTATGTCTGATTACCGATACGTTTCGCCTACTATAGTCTGCTGCTGAACATAGGTCTCCACCATAGATTGCCTCATAGGGCTGATATTTGCCATAGTTGCCACGCTTATCAAGCGGGTTGGCAACCGCAGTTTATATTTATTTTTAGTCGTTATTAGGAAGACGCTGCTGCCTATCTCCTGATTTGTTTCCCTCTATCGCTTCTTACACCGTTTACATACCTACATGTATGACGCCTGATTAGCCCAACAAATCTTGGAGAAAGTACGAAGTAAAGTTCATTACAGCAACTAAATTAGTTTAAACATCTTAACAATTTATATTATAATAAGTTGCCGTTACACGAAAAATTGAGAGTCATGAAATATAGATAGACAAGATAACGTTATCCGTTGTACTTGGCACCAATTTTTATAAGGCTAGAATTAGAAACAAATAATAGATCATAATTATGATAATTAAAACTTTTTATTATCAGACAAATCGCACATATTTTTAATTATTATAAGCCAGGGCATTACCTATATTACAACAAAAATTCCACCAGGGGGTAAGTGGTGATGAAGATATATATTATATTGAATATAGATAGATAGAAAATTCTTTATTGCACCAAATAAAAAAATTCGGTATGTACAAAGGCAAACTTAATGCCGAAAAGGAATTCTCTGCCAGCTAACCTTTGGTAGTGTGGTGATAGCTATGGGTAGAGTCGCAAGAGAAAAACCTAACTTTTTTACACATATTATTCAAAACATAATATAAATATGTTAGTTTATACACAGATACACTTATACATACATATAAACATATACTTATACAAATATATACATATAAATGAAAATACCTACATATTATACCAATAAAATACATACAATCAAGTAGTATTAAATAATGTGCCTCAAGCTTACATTTAAATATATTTATTGAGGGAGTGTTCACGCCCCTAGTTGCCCCGACAAAGGTCGACCGTACCAGGGCCCATGAGTGGTAGTCGCGACGGGCAACCAAGGGAGGGGCTCAATCGCCTATGGATAATTCTAAGTTAATGGCAAATAAGCAAGCACAACTTACCGAGTTCTGGAGGTAGGGTTGACCACAGGGTACCAGTCAGGTGATAAGTGAGGTGTATGTAAGTAATGTGTAGTAGTGGTTTAAATGTAACCTGACATAACCGATGTAGTCGGATCGCAGATCCACAGGCGCTGTTTTTATCCAAATGTGCGATCCCTCAAGTGGTCGATCACCAATTGAAAACTTCTGCTATTATTTTCACTATATTAGTTTATCAACTTTATTGTACATTTAATTAACTTCAAAGTCAACCAAATCAACGTTCATCGAAATTAGAACAAGTGACACACGACACAAGTAAAGAACAGTCGATCGAAAAAAAAAAGTTCAACGTTCCATGTTCACTTAGCAACAAATTATAATCACGAGAACGAACGCGGTCTCTTCTCGAGTCACAAAGTTCAGCGTTCTCCCGACAAATCAAAAATTTCTTCGTACCATATTAAAATGCCACACAAGCAATCAAAACTCAAAAATCAGCCTCGTTGACACGTAAAACGAACGAAAATAGACAACACACAAAAAAGGCACTTAACGCGACGTTACAACTTACAATTCAATATTAACTTCCAAAAGCAATTAACCGGCCGACGCGCGACAAAATCTTTTCTAGACCTTTACAATACCGTCCGTCGCGCAACAATTATTTTTCATACTAACATGGCGGGCGCGCCCTCGAATGGAATGCGGACGGGAGCAGGGGTACCAGGCGGTGACTGGTACCGTCGAATGAACGCGCCGCGCGCGCGTCGTGAATTCAAGTTTCAAAGGTTAATATTTGGCCTAAAGAGGGAGCATCTTTTAAATGTTGTGGAAGATTATTTCAAAGTGTAATTTATTATACTGTAAAGGAATTCGAGTAGTGTGCATATTTATGCATCGACATAGTTAGAGTTTTGTTGGCAATCGAACAGGATAAGCTTAAGTATGAAAAACGCTTTTTCAGATAACCTGGGGGACAAGGATTGTGAAGAATATATGAGATTATTGATAATAAATTATACTTATATATTATATGGAATACTTACATTAATAATTTCCTTATTACTAGCTGCGGCATAATGGAAAACGCTGTTCCCCTCCAGATCGATTGCGTTTAAAGAGCAGTTCAAAGAAAGGAGAGTCTGCACCATGCGAACATTGCCTGTTTTCACTGATACCTAATCATATCCAAATTTATTTATAAAAACAAAAATGTTAGAAAGCTAATGTTAGTGCATACAAACTTATGATATCGTTATTTTTTTCATCACCAATTTTATTTAATGTAATAAGTGTAACAAATGAGCACACAGTCCACCTGATAGACTAAGCTAGAATGCCTTGTTACCAGTAATAAACAACTCTGGTTTTCTACACTCATCATACGAACAAATACAGCAATTAAGTTGTTATTTTTCTGTGAGAGTGTGGTCCTTCCCCATTCGAGCCGACCCACTTGTGTTGCAACCATAATATAACTATAGTATTCTAATTGAAGATTATTATAGACTAGTGACCCGCCCTGGCTCCGCCTGGATCTATTAATAAACTTAGATTTTTTCGGATAAAATATAACCTAGATGTCTCCTGGCATTGTTCTCTATCTGTTAGTAAAGTTTCAACAAACAAATATTTTAAAAATCGGTGTTTATGTCTTAATAGCATGCCAATAATCCTCGGAGCTTAATAGAAACCAGTTATTTTAATATTACAGACAGACACTTCAATATTATTTATATATTATATAGATAAATGATGGATATGAATGGATTGTTCAACACCACTAATACATTTCAAGGTTGATATTTTCTTCTCATCAGACCGTAGAAATTGACATCTTCTGTTTTAGGAAAGAACTGCCTTGTCACCCTTGTCTTGGCTTGGTTGATTGCAGTGCCAGATGTTTTCACCTTTTTAGCGCTCTCCATTGCCAGTCTGGTCTATTTTTTTTCATTCAATCGATTTTAAATATGTTTACAAACATTATATCTACATTTTATTATTTGTTTTTTATTAGTTTTAGTTCATTTAACTGTAATACAATAACAATTATGTTCATCATCACCAACATTATTTAAGCCCACAGCTGCACACGCCTTTTCAAGAATAGCATAGGCTATTTTGGCACGTACCTATATTTTAGAAGATCTACTCATGCTCACCTCACTGGGCAGGGAGATGCTGGTAATGCTGTTACATTTTATAATGCAACTTTGATAAGATGCTACGTTGAAATATTATTGACGCACCATTAATGGAGTGGCTCCAGTCGTTGGATCCGCATCATCGAAATGCCTCTGGACATCGGGTTCGTTGAACAATTCGCAGAGGCCAAAGTGAGCCACCAAATGTGCAATTGTCCATGATCGATTTTCTGATAACGTGTCGCATATCTTCTGTAAGGACTGAACTGAACACTACAAGAACAATTAATATATATAATAAAGTTCTTGTAATTTAATTTCTCAATTTTCATTAATACTTAAATAAAATAGAATTTAAGTACTTTTTTGTAAAAAAAAAAACTGAAATTTATTAACAGTTTCATATACAGTAGTGTCTAGTATAACTTCTATTGAAATTAAAAAAACATTCTAATCTCAATAGAGAAGATGGCTGGCTGCTACCATCAGCCTGGGATCCCATTGTTAATAAGATTAAATCCTAAACCAAGCATACTACTGTAAGACATCAAGATACTGTAAGCTCGTTCCGCAGACCAAAAATTTATAATAAAAAGTTGAAGGTAGCCATCGTTAACTATGACATCAGGACGTCAAACACATCTGTTCCTCCCTTGACCATGGGTGCTCTGAAGGGCCCGTAACATCGGGAATTAAAGAAGTAAAAATTAAACACCATAAAATATATAAAATTTGTATTATTCCATTTAAATTATAAAATATATTTCCCAAGCTTTATTCAACTATTAATGTAATTTAACTATGTAATAAGATACTACTAAAAAGATTTCAAATGATACTAACCTCTTTTGTGATTTTTATAAAAAGTGGAATTTTTTCTTTAAAAACTATGAACTTATCTTCTGCACTTTCTTGACTTTCTGATCGAAATAAACTGTAATAATAACATGAATTATACAGTAAAATTAAATATTGTTCAATTAAATATTATTGGCCGATAGAATATTTGATAATAAATAGCATTCTCTGACCTGAACATTTGATGTAGGCTTTCAGTAAAAGGTTTATGTAGAACAATTTCATAAAGTTTATCTTTAGGGTTTTTGCTATCAGGAGGTATTTTTGGTCCATATAGTAACATAGAATCTTCCCTGTAACATATCGGCCTAGAAATATAGTTGTCTGACCGCACTTCTAGGACTTTAGTCGGCAGCTCCTCAATGCCGAGAAGTCCACGAAAGACTAGAAAAATACAAGTTTAATATTATTTCATTTAATTTAAAAAATTCAATCATAATGAAATAAATACAAAAGAGCAGCTTGAAGTTTTTTCATAAAATAAATAGACATTAAATGAATAAGAAAACCTTAATATCTTTTAACTTTTAACTAGAACTTCCCATAAGTATAAAATTAAAAATCACCACAGTGAAAGTATCCTAAAAATCAGTCAAGCTGTTTCTGAAAAATTTATGCATGTACAAACTTGTGGGAATATCCTTCCTTTTTTTAAGTGAATTCAATATAGTTCCTAATAACTATGTAAAAGTAAGTAAAGTTACAGCATATATAGGCAAAGGCCAATTTAACTTTTGAGAGGATGAAAGACTTATTCCACCGCAAAGCTACAATGCTAGTTGTCGAATTTCATACGATCTCGAAATATTATTCCTCAGACAAAAAATTCCAAAAAATTCCATTTCACATTTCACGATGTTTTCCTTGACTGTCTATTACATGGTTAATATGCACTTAAAATTACAATTATTAATTTTATTGGTGCAGACGGGAATCGAACACGGGAACTGTAAAATTTACGGCAAGTGCTAAGCCCCTAAGGTACCACAGCTCTTATTAATTAATTAATTAAAATACTTACATGAATTAAACATGTTTGCAAATTGTGTCTCAAATTATAACATACAAAAACTTTATTCGAGTATGTAAATCACAATAAAAGCCTACGATTATTAGCAATAGTTTTTAATACATCATTATTATTTATACGTTTCATCACTATCAAGTATCAATAGTTTGTGATCACTATCCAAAGAGTATAGTAATTGTCCTCACTATCACAGATCACTATTCTATTACACCATCGAAATGAAATGTTACTACTCCTCTTGCCTATACCAATTTGTCAAATTCCCCGAATATCCATGTCAAATTCCCCAATTTAGGTACAAAACTTCAACAGATTCCCCACAAATTCCCCTCAATTTTATTTTAAGATGTATTTTTAACTAACATTTTTTTTCTGTAACAAGCATTTAATTCCATAGAGTATTTTTAATTCCTTCCCTTGTTACCATTAAAAAGTACCCCAGTATTTGCATTTATATGCATGTAGTTCTATACTTTAAAATTGAAAAATAAAGAAATGTAAAGCATTAAATAATACGCAAAAGTTGCCGAAATAAATCTGAAAATTAAATGTGTAATGTGTGATGATAATTTAAAAAAGGAAGTCATTCGATATTCATAAGTAACCTAAAAAGAATGTTAAGATAAGTATTAAAATTTCTTGAAAAAAGGTTCTGACTTGGCCCGGGCTATCGATTTTCTGAATCCCCGCATAATACCAATCCCCAAAAAATGCCCAACCAACTTTAAATTCCCTGCTATTTGGGGAGTTCCCCACATGTTGGCAATATAATAAGAAGTGCTTGTGTCTATGCTACGATCAACAATATCAACTAGATATCAGGTCGGCGCAAAAATACGTCTCAGTAAATAACAGCGCACTGGAGACGTGAGCTCTTATTTCGTTTATTTGACTTGAAACAGCCAATGTAAACACGTTTCACAATGCCGCAATGTGTATTTAAAAGTTGCAAGAATAATGCCCGAAAAAGCAATTTAACGGCCGAGGTGTTTTACTTTCGGTAAGAACATGTAGAATAAGACTTCGATTATACTGGCGTAAATAAAGACTACCCCCCTACCCCAGCCTACCAATTTGGAGTATATATATAATAAAAAATACTGACAGACGTATTTCAAATAGCACATCTCAAAAGTATAAATTATTTAAGCTGCACCCATGTAGCTTAGAATTAAAAAATAGTTAAAGATCCTTGACTTAATAATGTCGATACTTACTTACTTACTTATCTTCACGCACAATCCCTGACGGGGTAGCCAGAGAGAACAGATCGCCAAGTGTCACGATCCTTACATACCTCTTTCGCTTCTTTCAGATTCATTATCTTCTTCATACATGCACGTCTAGGTATCCGAGTACTCTTGAGTCTACCCTCTTCGAGCAAATTGCTCACATGGTCTTCGAAAGTTAGTCTCGGTCTACCTCGACACCTTTTAATATTAACTTTCGCGCTATATATTTTCTTCACCATTCGGTCTTCACTCATTCGCTCAACGTGCCCAAACCACCGAAGCACGCCCTTATCAATTTTTGTGATAAGGTCATCTTTCAAACCTGCCATATTGCGAATCTCTTCGTTTCGCTTTCGGTCGGCCATAGTAACGCCGCATATTTTACGAAGAGATCGCATCTCCACTGCATTCAACTTGCTTTTATGCTTCTTCTGACATACCCAGGTTTCGCTGCCATATAACAAAGTCGGTACCAACACTGCGTTATGTATTGCAAGGCGTGCACTCTTCACTACGCCTTGCCTTTTGACTAACGCAGTCAGGGCACCATTGACGTCGATAATGCTTCAAATAATTAGAATTGGGTGCTTTTTGCAATATAAAAAGCTGCACCTTGCTTGAATATAATTGCACCATCGTTAAAAATTTATAAAATGCAATGCTAAGGACAAAAAGTTAATAAAACCAAATTTGAAGTGTCGATTGCACCACTCCCCTTACACCAGCCTACGAATTTGGAGTATATATAAAATAACAAAAACTGACAGACGTATTTTAAATAGTACATCTCAAAAATAATTATTATTGAAATTGTACCTTTGTAGTTTATAAATAAAAAATTGGTAAAGATCGTTGACCTTATAATGTCGATATAACATCGAATAATTAGAATTGGGTACTTTATACAACACAACTTCTATGGACAAGATTCCAAGTTATGATGGCTCGACCACACTACGTTCCTCGCGCTGCCTCGATGTTGCCGTCTGCCCATACACTGCTCTACTCGCGCAATTAATCGCGACGTACTGCAATAGGTCGCCCGTGTTTGCAACACAATGATTTTGAAACTGTTGCAGTGTGCGAGCTATGCATATTTATTATAGCTAATTATAGCAATGTCATAAAAATAAATATACGTTGTCGTCGTCGAGATGGCTTTTTCTCTATATAGTATTTACTCAGGTACACACTATACAGAATATGGCTCTATAGTATGTACATGAGTAAATATCATAATCGCTCGATTCGAACTGCGTTTTCGCGAGTGACGCTGCGTTTGCGTGTGTGGCCAGCCAGCCACTCGCGCTCATATTGCATTCTTTTGACTCGCGCTCAAAAAACCGACAAAACAGGGAACGATGGGCATGACGAGTATTGTGGCCATACCATACTAAGTGTCTGCCTCCTTTCCTCGCTACTCCCCATGCCACTCGACGAGTGTGTGACCGGAGGGTGACAGTATTTCCTGACACAGTAGAAACGTAGATAAGATTTTTTTAAGACTTTAACGTACTAAAAATTGGTTTCCCTTTAGCGACTTTAGAGCCTTTTTTTGTTTATTCAAATATGAAAAAAAAACTGATACACTAAGCAGCATTTTTTAGCCCTCCTGCAGGAACCACACAGTTTTTTTTGTTGGTGGTGTATCAATTAGAAATTACTACATTATATTATATAATATAAACTATAAGTGACAGGTATAGACAGCAAGATACGAAGTGCTGTCCACAAAATATCCTATCTATAATTATTTTTAATAAGTCGGAGAACTTTGGCTCTACTGATTGAAGATCTTTAAATAATGTGTTTAGTCTCATAAGTTCCTCAACCTATTTACAATCAAACAGATCACATTTTCGCCCATCCGTTAAACTGATTTGCAACTCAACATTAACTTTTTCCAATATGGACCTTTCAGGAAGTATTTTCATGTTGTATAAAAATGACCATGTATTTATTATATATATGTATATATGTTTAGGCCAAACAATTAACATTTGAAATTTGCATTCAACACTCGTGTCCTCCCGCTGACTTTGTAAAGGTCACCGACGCCCCACTTCCGTGTGGGTCGTTCGGCAGAGGGCGCGAGTGCCGGACGCGAGTGCGAAGACAGTAGCTTGACAACAGCGGTGCTGTCGATTAGCGTATTTTATGACCACTGCAGCGGTTTCGCGCGACTAGTTTTTTGGTTTTGTGGTTTAGAATTTGAGTCTTTGTGCGCGTTTAATTTACTATTGAATTTGGGTTTCGTGTAGACCGCCTCGAATTAGTTTGTCTAAGTTATAAGTTACGTGACAAGAGGCTAGTATTAAATTTGAGTGATTAAAGTAATTTCGTTTGTAAGTAATTACGTCAATTTGTAAAGTGATTGCATTTTGAAGTGCATTTTGCAGCATCGGACCAAGCCGCTGCCCGATCACCTCAGTTGGGCAGTTCACATATATAAACACTACTACACACCACTTACATGCACCTACACCTACCTACCGCCTGACCGAGCCTTGGGGCAGTCTTAGCTTCGGAACCAGGTACGTACTATTCATTTACCTAGCCTTATATCTATTGAGTCGAATAATAAGTTTCCATAGGCCGTCGGGCCCCACCCTTAGTTGTCCGTCGAATCTACCGCTGATGGGCCCCGGGATATTTGACCATTGTCGGGACAGCTAGGGGCGTGTACATTTTTGGTAGCAGAGCGTGGCGCACCCAGCCGTAATACGTCATAATAAAAATATTTTCTTTTGTTGTTTGCTTCCTTTGTTTGTTAGCGGATAGGTGGGTAGATTAACCACGCCCGTTAGGCTTCGCAAGCAGGAGTTTGTTAGGGCTAGGTACACGTCAAGTATTTTGGGTAGGTAGATAATTGTTATCACGTAATCGGATAATTATCGTTGTCGTATAATTATAGTAGATTAATTGTCGAAGGGTCGGTCGTCTGAGCGAGGCATCTTTGATTTGACCGTAATTGTATTTGTTACTTGTTAATTTGATTTGTATTTGAGCCACGTAGTAATTTGTATTTAGAAGTGATGCCATCGCACTGCCAGGGCAATCACCATGCCGTTTTGTGCCTGGGTGAGAACGGCGCTTCCTCTCAGGGCTCTGCCGGGCCCTCGACTGCCACGGGCGGGGGTGCTCAGCCGCGACCCCTGTCGGGTGACGCTCGGCGCTCGCCTGCCGGCCACCGTGCCCCTGGGTTTAAAAGGGGTTCCTCCCCGAATCAGTCTGGGGGTCATCGCCCCCCCCCCCTCAGCGTGTTGAGAGGGACTTCACAGCCAGTCAGCGGTCAACTAGACCCTTCTCACCCCCGTCAGCTGATGGCCGCGACTGGGGTACCACCGTCCCCCCTTTGATGGAGGCAGCCCCAGCTAGGTAGCTGCCACCCTAGCTCCCACCACGGCCGCCTCCACTAATCCTTTGAGCCGTCAACAGCTCACTTGTCAAAGTGTTCTATTGCCGACGGCCTCAGTGAGGGTGTACAACCAGAGTGTCGATTGTTTAACGGTTCGCGCTCTATTGGATTCGGGTTCACAACACGGTGTGCGACTCTGCGTGTCTCAGTCTGATTTTGAATCCTTATTGCGGCGTAGTATTTAATATCGTACGAAGGAATTTAGTTTGTTGTTTGGGAACGCTGAAATTTGAGACTCGAGAAGAGGCCGCGTTCGATCCCGTGTTTGTAAATTTGTGCTACGTGAACCCGGAACCTTGAATATTGAACTTTGAGCGACTGTTCGTTATTTGTGTCGGGTGTCACGTGTTTGATTTCGCTGAACGTTGAATTGGTTGTCTTTGAAGTTAATTAAATGTACAATGGAGTTGGTAGACTGAAATAGTGAAATGAAGAAAGAAGTTGTCAATTGGTGACGTTCGCTGGAGTGATACCACATTGTGGGGCAGCATCGGACCTAGCCG